TTGAATGCAGACAAATGATCGTTTATCGATCTTATTCTCCTCGTAGGAGAATATACGCCACAAGTTAAAACTCGATGAATTATCCGACTGCCTGCGTCATGCATGCCTCGAATCGGTGACACTTCTCAAATCAGGCTTGATAGTCTAGGAGGTTTGTGAACTGTGGCACGCATCGGATAAAATGTTGTGCACATGTGGGCATGTTGGTGGGTAGAACACAAATCAATTCGGCTCGAATGGTGGACGCTTTATGTTCCGGATTTGGCTATTGTTTTGGTATTTTGTTAAATTCAGAGAACCAGGCACAATCAGGTTAGAATCAATCGGACAGTTGGTTTCTCAATGATGCGAACAGTCGCATAATTCTAGGGAACACTTTTGTTATGACAAATACCGGTGTGTGTGTGTGTGTGTGTGTGTGAGTGAGTTAATCTGTGCCAAATGACTAGCAAGTAAAAGTCAGAAATTTGAGCTTAGGCTTGATGTAGGTACCGCTTTTGAAAGTTCCTTGTGTAATAAATGATGAGTATCGGAGGCTTGGTAGTTCGGAACCACTAATTTCCCCAAATATTTACGTATCTGCCAGTTACAGTTTCTGCATACAGGTCTCTAGCGATGCCACTTCATTTGGGTATGTGCTTGAGGGATGAGGCCATCCATTGGGTTCTTTATTCCAGACACCGGAAAAATAACTTAAAACAAGTTCGGTACATTTAATCATGGGTTAAACTTTATTCTATTGCATTTGACTCACATTTACCTGTGAGTAGTGGTGTGGAATAATTGCTTTTATTGATTTGAGCTGACTATCCTTCGGAGTTTACCTTCATGCACAATCCTCAGTTCATCGACTCAGCCATACACTCGGAAGCACCAGACTCGAGTTTCGCTCTTATTAGAGCTCATCATTACTGCATATCCACTGTTCCGTCTGGGAGTTGAACTTTGAACCCATCGCATGGAAGGCGTGTGCGTTCCCACTATGCCAACCAGTTCATATCATGGCTGAACCGAATAGCCAATTCATGTTTGTTCAGGCGTCGTCTCCAGTGGATGTATAATGGTAAAACTTTCAGGATGGAAGAAGCCTGTCAGAGGACCTCCATGAAACAACCAAAAATGGAGAAATTTAAGCGATGTTGGTGAGATCTGAGCACAATTCCTTCAAGGCGATCATTTGGTGGATTTTATCGCTGATTACAGGGAGTACTTTCCATTGGAGTGTGAAGTTTGACTGTTTTATAAATTAATAAGATGTCTTATAAGTCTGCA